TCTGCGTCCAACGGATGGAAGCCTCTGCCGCGAACAGCGATGAAGACGACAAACAAGATGAGTCCCAAAAGTTCAAAGAAGAAGAGCAAGACACTGCGACGGGGCCTTTGAAAGCGTCTTGTGAATATCAGCAGCGGCTTTTAGATGATCCTGAGGAGCAATTGCGAGTAGTGGTCTCCATTGTGGCCGCGCGTTTGGGAACATGTGGATCGCGGAAATTGCTTCCGTCACATATACCAAAATTTATCAGCAGCGATGTGCGGCGCAAAATATTTCCTCGGGGCTCTGGTGGTCCCAAAGAATACCTCATGCGGTACCCGGAGGTGTTTATTCTCACGGATGGGATTCACCCGCATGAACCAGTGGTCACGCTTGCCCCCAAATATCACCCTAATCCTCGGTTGCCACCTGCAAGCGATACCGTTTGTGCAACCACTGCAGAAGCGAATGGGAAGGGAGAATAACTTTTTTTCAATATAAGAAACTGTAAATTACACCTTGAAGGCTTTTTCCCCCTAATGGTGTGCGTGTGTGCATATATATATATATATATATATATTCTTTAATCATTCATTAACATTGCATTTGATGTGTCCAAATGCCCCTGTTTTCAATTCTCTAGCTCTTTGCTCGGTTTGAGACGGGGCTCAAACCCGCAGCATTCGGACAGGAACAGGGCAGAGTGAACGCATAAAGTAAAAAGGAAGTGAAGATTGAAAAAAAAAAAAAAAAACTAGTAAAGAAAACAGAATTGTAAAAAGGAGAAAAATTGAGAAACGACGGATGTTCTCTTCGGGAGCACCAGCAGTAAAAGCAGAGGAAACTTTGCTGCAACCATTGCGGCCAACGAGGCCCTCTACGACAAAACCCACCAAGCCAGATTACTTTCCCATGTCTCTTGTACGGAAGCCCATGGGTCCCGCGATTTATCCAGGGGCCGCAGCCGCAGAAGATGTCTCAAAGGGGCTTTTGGTAAGCGATGCATTACACGACATGACATTCTACACAGGGGTCTCCGAATCCTTGCCCGATGCCGGACGCCCAGTGCTTAACTCGCTGTTATTTAGTCAAAGACATGTGGTTAATGACAGTCCTTCGGTTGAAGAAGAAATTGCAAGTATAAATGAGCGCATACGTCTATGGCGTGCCTCCCGCCTCCAAGAAGTATTCACCAACTACGAACACAGCAAGCAACAGGCCCTACTAGACGAGAAAGTGGAGGAGCGCATAAAAGAGCGTCAGGCTGCGGAGCGAGATCGCACTATACGCCGGATCTCTCGGATGCTTGATTCTCTCATCCCCGAATTGGAAAAGGCGATTACAAAGACGTCTGAGGCAAAATTAGATGTGCTCAACGCTGCTCGGCACGAGGCTCTCCTCAAAAAATGGAAAGAGCGAGACGAGATGCAACAACGTTTCCTGCGGGACATGCGAATTGCGGAACGCCGTTGGCTTGTTGACCGTCAATTTCAAAGAAACATGGATGAGCGTAATTTACTGGATTCCCAGCATTACTACAGTTTTTTGGAGCGCAAAATGGAGGAACGTTTGGCGTTCCGTCACTTGTGTGAGGCCTTCTACAACGAAAAGATTATTGTCGGTGTGTATGACGATGAAAGAGAAGTAAGGAAAAGAATGATTCGGCTAGAGGCTGAAGATAGGATTGATATAAACAAAAAACTGCGTAAGTTTATTCCTCCTAAGGAAATGGCAGCGACTACTGAGGAAAAAAGAACAGAAAACGATGACTCTATAACATCGAGCCCGAAAAACAGACAAGATCCCGGGAAGAACGTGGAAAAAACTAGGGACATTCAGGCTGTCGAGCAGCAAGAGGATATTCAGGAACTGGTGACCCCGGCTGAGGATATTCAGGAACTGGTGACCCCGGCTGAGAATGTTCAGGAATTGGTGACCCCGGCTGAGGATGTTCAGGAATTGGTGACCCCGGCTGAGAATGTTCAGGAATTGGTGGCTCCGGCTGAGAACGTTCAGGAATTGGTGGCTCCGGCGGAGGATGTTCAGGAATTGGTGACCCCGGCTGAGAATGTTCAGGAACTGGTGGCTCCGGCTGAGGATATTCAGGAACTGGTGGCTCCGGCTGAGGATATTCAGGAACTGGTGACCCCGGCTGAGGATATTCAGGAACTGGTGACCCCGGCTGAGAATGTTCAGGAATTGGTGACCCCGGCTGAGAATGTTCAGGAACTGGTGACCCCGGCTGAGGATATTCAGGAACTGGTGACCCCGGCTGAGAATGTTCAGGAATTGGTGGCTCCGGCTGAGGATATTCGGAAACTGGTGGCTCCGGCTGAGGATATTCGGAAACTGGTGGCTCCGGCTGAGGATATTCAGGAACTGGTGACCCCGGCTGAGGATATTCAGGAACTGGTGACCCCGGCTGAGAATGTTCAGGAATTGGTGGCTCCGGCTGAGGATATTCGGAAACTGGTGGCTCCGGCTGAGGATATTCAGGAACTGGTGGCTCCGGCTGAGAATGTTCAGGAATTGGTGGCTCCGGCTGAGGATATTCGGAAACTGGTGACCCCGGCTGAGGATATTCAGGAACTGGTGACCCCGGCTGAGAATGTTCAGGAATTGGTGGCTCCGGCTGAGGATATTCGGAAACTGGTGGCTCCGGCTGAGGATATTCAGGAACTGGTGGCTCCGGCTGAGGATATTCAGGAACTGGTGACCCCGGCTGAGGATATTCAGGAACTGGTGACCCCGGCTGAGAATGTTCAGGAATTGGTGGCTCCGGCTGAGGATATTCGGAAACTGGTGACCCCGGCTGAGGATATTCAGGAACTGGTGACCCCGGCTGAGAATGTTCAGGAATTGGTGGCTCCGGCTGAGGATATTCGGAAACTGGTGGCTCCGGCTGAGGATATTCAGGAACTGGTGGCTCCGGCTGAGGATATTCAGGAACTGGTGACCCCGGCTGAGGATATTCAGGAACTGGTGACCCCGGCTGAGAATGTTCAGGAATTGGTGACCCCGGCTGAGAATGTTCAGGAATTGGTGACCCCGGCTGAGAATGTTCAGGAACTGGTGACCCCGGCTGAGGATATTCAGGAACTGGTGGCTCCGGCTGAGGATGTTCAGGAATTGGTGGCTCCGGCTGAGGATATTCGGAAACTGGTGGCTCCGGCTGAGGATATTCAGGAATTGGTGACCCCGGCTGAGAACGTTCAGGAACTGGTGGCTCCGGCGGAGGATATTCGGAAACTGGTGGCTCCGGCTGAGAATGTTCAGGAATTGGTGACCCCGGCTGAGGATGTTCAGGAATTGGTGACCCCGGCTGAGGATGTTCAGGAATTGGTGGCTCAGGCTGAGGATGTTCAGGAATTGGTGACCCCGGCTGAGAATGTTCAGGAATTGGTGGCTCCGGCTGAGGATATTCGGAAACTGGTGGCTCCGGCGGAGGATATTCAGGAACTGGTGACCCCGGCTGAGGATGTTCAGGAATTGGTGACCCCGGCTGAGAACGTTCAGGAACTGGTGGCTCCGGCGGAGGATATTCGGAAACTGGTGGCTCCGGCTGAGAATGTTCAGGAATTGGTGACCCCGGCTGAGGATGTTCAGGAATTGGTGACCCCGGCTGAGGATGTTCAGGAACTGGTGGCTCCGGCTGAGGATGTTCAGGAATTGGTGACCCCGGCTGAGAATGTTCAGGAATTGGTGGCTCCGGCTGAGGATATTCGGAAACTGGTGGCTCCGGCGGAGGATATTCAGGAACTGGTGACCCCGGCTGAGGATGTTCAGGAATTGGTGGCTCCGGCGGAGGATATTCGGAAACTGGTGGCTCCGGCTGAGAATGTTCAGGAATTGGTGACCCCGGCTGAGGATGTTCAGGAATTGGTGACCCCGGCTGAGGATGTTCAGGAACTGGTGGCTCCGGCTGAGGATGTTCAGGAATTGGTGACCCCGGCTGAGAACGTTCAGGAACTGGTGGCTCCGGCGGAGGATATTCGGAAACTGGTGGCTCCGGCTGAGGATGTTCAGGAATTGGTGACCCCGGCTGAGGATGTTCAGGAATTGGTAGCTCCGGCGGAGGATTTTCGGAAACTGGTGGCTCCGGCTGAGAACGTTCAGGAATTGGTGACCCCGGCTGAGGATATTCAGGAACTGGTGGCTCCGGCTGAGGATATTCAGGAACTGGTGACCCCGGCTGAGAATGTTCAGGAATTGGTGACCCCGGCTGAGAACGTTGAATCCGCCGAGCATTGAGAAGATCTTCGGTGAGCCTGTTATTTGTGTTGTTTGGACCACGGACGCGGTGGTTTGGTGTGTGTTTTAGACATGTACACTAGATGGAGTTGGCTTGAATGTATATAGCTTGGACCATTTGTTTTTATTCTTTTTTGAAATTCTGATTAAAGATGGATGTCTTTTGTTCATATCGTGCGTGACATTTATTATTCTTTATTTTGATACCCTTATATGTTTTTGTTGTTGTTGTTTTTCTTCTTTCTGTTGTTAGTTGTGACTGTAGTAGAAGAAACTACGAGAAGGGGAAGTGTGTGCTGTGAGGAATTGCGGGGGCTGAAGTAAAAGAGGCGGAGGTGTTTTTGTTGCCGTACTGGCGCCTTTCAATGGACGATGCAGACACCGCCGCCACCGTACGCGCAACTTTTCCCGAACACGGGCACTGTAACGGATCGCGTGTTTGAGGGACCTTCGTTACTTTTTGATTCTTCTGTCCTTCCCGTGGGGGCGGTGATGGGGCCCGCACAAGGTGGAAATCCGGCGGGAGTTGAACTGAAGTCTCTTCCACTACCATCCCCACCTTCTTCTTTGTGCACCGGCATCAGCGCACCCACTCTTGCACCGCCCACAGCTGGTGATTTTAGGAAATCAAAAGATGCTGTTAACAGCGATGTGATCTTACAACGCCTTTTTTTGCTTCAGGACGAGATAAACTCCATCAAGTTTTTTCTCAACGAACAGACGTCGCCTTCTGCTCCTTTAGATGTCCGAGCTGCGCCTGTCCGGCCTTCTTCTGGGCCGCCGTCGGCTGCTTCTCCTCCCCACACATCGCCCGAAGAAAGGGAGGACGCGTGGAAGCGGATTTTGATTTCTCAGCAGGAGCAAATTGTATCTCTCGGTGAGACGCTTTGCCGCAGTCTCCGTTCTCTTTCACTAGCGCCAGCAACAGCAACGGGAAAAGACGGAAAGGAAGAGGCACGAACGGGAAATGACGAGAAGGCCGTGGCGGTGGGGGACACAAAAAGCAATGACAAACTGAATGGCAATAGTATGACTGAAAGGGTTTACCAGGAGGTCTCCGTTGTTTCTCTGAAGGATGGCACGGTGGACCTTGTCCATCTTTTAACGACCTTGTACAACCTTCCAGTTGTCTATTGTGGATGCCGCCACGAGCAGCTCTACTCCAAATTTGGTGAGGAACTTGTTGCAGCAGCTTTGGGTACCACCAGTCATGAGTTGCTGGAAAAGTATGCCTCTTTGTTGGTGTTGCGTCTGAATGAAGGGTACGCCGTTGCTGAGATTGGGGTGGACCCTCGTATATCGGTGGATGCTTTTGTTGCAAAGAGTGGTGATTTGGTTTATAAGGTTTTGGCGCCTTTACCATTTCCTGTACTTCAACAGGTGTTGGAGCGAACACAATTCCCATCCGAGATACCGGCGTACCAAATCTCGTTTTTTGCATGCGAAGCTTATCATCATCGTCTTTTAGCAAAATTAGCGCCAAGTACGAGAGCCGTGTCATTAGGAAAATCATGCGTTGGATCCTTATCATCGTTTTTGTCATGCACCTTGAGCCATCAATGCGAAGCAGAAGAAGCAGAATTACTGTTCCATGGAGTGCGATTTCTTTGGCTGCCCTTGCACTTCATGGAGAAGGAACTCCGGCGTTGCGAGGGCTTGGGAATGACGGCAGAGGCGTGTCACTGTAAGATCTACGCAGGGCTAATTCTGCGTCTCCGACAGGCCATTCAAGCAAAACGATCATTGAAGGAGTTAACAACAACTCCAGCGCGGCCTCTTCCTGCTGTTTTTACCGCGAAACCCTTTCTTACAGAATTAAACCGCTTGCGTCCGTCATATTATTTTATTACCCCCGCGGAAAAAGAACAGTTATTGGCCGGTAGTAAGATGGATTTTGCTCAGGCTAGGCGGCTACAAGAGCAGTGTGATGCAACTCTGTAGTTGACAGCTGTTCGCCACCTTTGGGCGAATAACAGTTGTACTCAGCGCCTTTTGGGGGGTGAGGAGGGAGCGCTTTGTGTGTGTGGGATTGGGGAATTTCGGTCGGGACCACCGGTATCCCGCTTTTGTGAATGTTGTTTTGGTTAGAGGTTTTTCGTATGCGCATGGACTGACTGTTGTTTGATTTTAACCGGCCTGTACTTATCTTTTACTTTTTTTCCATCTATTTGCTTTCTCTTGTGGTGCATAATGCGGATGTGGAATTCCTCGCGGACACATTGATCGTGGTGGGATAAATGAAAATAACTATAAGAAAAGGATAAGGGAGACTGCTGAAGAAACACAAATGCGTGAGAAGGTTGTGCCAATCCCGTTTTTAAGTAGGGAGGTCTCCGCGTGGCTTTATCGCACAACGCGTCGTGTGCGGGAGCACCCATACCGGGCCAGTGGCATTGTTCTTGGCGTTGCCGTGAGTACCATCCTGTATGAAGCGAACGTGACGCACAAGGACCGCATTCCCTCGCCCAATGTGAACAATCACCTTGAGTACGAACTCCGTCGCGAGCCGAAGGGTGTGAAATCGATGGGAGAGGGTGCATTGGAGAGGTCGCAGCATCAGTTAGGAGTTTCTTTGGTGAACAGTCAGACATTGGATGATGAGTGGCGGAAACACAACGCGGCGGTACTGGGACGCGTTAAGGAGCTGGAACAACTCATTGCGAGCACTAGTGATTCAGAGAAGCGTGAGGAGCTGCAGCGTCTCCTTGATGAGGAGAAGGAATCCGAGAAGAAGCATGGCGGCACGACAATGAAGGTGACGAGTGGACAGCTTTATGTTCGTGAGCCACACTGGAATATTCGAAACAATGAGCGCAATTGGACGATTTTGGCGCGTGACCAGCAGCAGCAAAAAGATCACTACTGGTACCGCCTGGAGAGAAGTCGTGAGGATGACTTTGCGAGAAACACATATTCGCGTTTGTGATCTTGTCATAATAGCAGCACGCACTTTTTGGGAAGTTTCACGGAGGAGGAGGGCAATAAAATGGTTTTTGATATAGTTGTCCTGGTTTTTGGCAGAAAATAAATGAACTACTTGCGAATGAGGGCGGCGGATTTTATTTTATTTTTCTTTTTCAGTGGGGAGTTTTTGTTGCTTTTTATTCAATTTGTTGTGACGCTGTTGTTATTATTATTTTATCCGTCTATCATTTTCCCTTTTCTTTTTTTGTTTTTTTGCGTGTTTTTTCTTTACTGTTTTTTGTGTGTGCACTTATGTTTTGGGCACTCAACGGCAGTTTTCGTTTTCTTCTTTCTCTCTGGCGATGCGGCTTGGGAGCCCCGCTCATCTCCGGCGGTTTTTCCCTGCTGAGGGCATGGCTGCCGCAATCACGTGTTGTTTCTCGCCGCGGTGTCTGGCTACTTCGCGTCAGATTCACGGACGTTCGGGCAGAGGCGATCTGTTCTTTGTAAACTCGGATGCACGTCGCCACGATATGCGGGCTCTCGTTCAGCTGCGCGGGCCACGGCAGAGCAGCCAAGCCACCTGCCCTGAAAGCGGTCAGTTGTACTACAAGAAGCTCATGCTGCATGCCGTGTCTGAGGGAGCCAATTCTGGGTCAGAGCAGTACCGACACGCCGCCAGCACGTGGGCCTATCTCCTTCCTTCCCTGTTGCGTTGCGCCGAACTTGCTGTTGCGGAAACACTCTGGGCGAAGTTATGTCGGATTGAATTGGAAGGAAACAAGGGAGAGGGAACATTGCTCACTGAGCGTGAGAAGAAAAGTTTGCGGGATGGTCAGGAATTGTTTCGATACGAGCTCCATCAGCGGATACCATTGCTGGAGGAATCCGTGACTTCTGCAGGGCTTCGGGAGCTAACCAGTTGGTTCACTGTGGCTCGAAGGTCCTGGGTCCGCCTGCCCACCACGTCTTCATCGCCAAAGACACCCTCTATAGACATCGCGACCAATCATTTGGTGTCCATGGAAGGTTCACTTCTTCCATCGCGTGATATTTTCTCGAGTTTTGCAGCTCCTAATGTTTTCAGAGACACCACACCAGGGAGCTGTCAGACATACAATATGGCGATGCGTGTGGCACGGCTGACGGAGGTTGTTGTTCTTTCTGTGCACGATGAAATGGCTCGACTTGGCAATGATGAGAACATTGGGAAAGGTAAGCCAAAAAGTGCGCGTTTACTAGAGAAGGAAGAGAAGATGCGTCAATGCCTTTTGGATGAATTTCGCTGGCACAACATATCCTACCGTGCAGTAGTGTTTAATAACGCGGCGGAAAGAGGTGAGAGAGGGGGTGCGAAGCCAAGTCCCACACACGCATTGGAATAAAAAGGAAATGGAGTGCTTTATTGAAATGCATCAAAAAAAAAAAAAAAAAGGACATCTACTACATTATATATATATATATATATATATATATATTTTTTTTTTGGCGTTGAATTTTTTTTCTTTTTTGTGACGCCACTGTTATCTTCACTTTTTACAATTTCTTTTTTTTTTCCTTTTTTTCCTCTCTCTGTGTGTGTGCTTGTTTATCCTCCGCTTGTTTTTTGAGTTGATTGGCGACTGCTTCATGGTGTCAGGAACACCTTCCCATTGTTGGGAGACAAGTGAGACGCGATGCCTACTCTTTGATGGGGAGATCGTGCGAGGGCAGCTGCTCTCGGAGCTCTCACTGCTGGCTGTGGCCGTGGGCGACAACACACGCCACACGGCGGTGCCCCCCGAGCCATTCACGTTGCGTCTCATTATGCATTTCATGGAAGTTGCTTCCAGGTATCCCATGGTGGGTACACTTCTGCTGGACTGCCCGCGGCGCCTGGACGAAGTCATGGAAGAGGAGTTGATGCATTGGCTCCGCGAAGAAAGTGCCCTTATATTTTTTTCAGGCGAGCGGAACGACGCGTCCCAGAGTCTTTGTCATCATGCTTTTTCAGGAAATCCAGCGCCGACGGACGTTGCTCTAGGCAGTGACAGTGGATGCCCCATATGTATGTGGATTGGTCAGTGGCCGCATGGTTTTTGGGAGGCAGTGGAAAAGGGAACCGTGAAGATACTTGTCCGCTGCGCACTGAGCGCATTTCCCAGTTGTCTCCCACCCCACACGCGACGCTCGCCTTTCCAGCGACCGCGTGATGCGGCAATAGGAGCGGGACAGTGGATTCATGTTAATGGATACGTCACAGCTGTGTTTTTTCTCCATCGCGAATTCGCCTACCCGGCACCCGTGCTGGAATTTCAACCGTTGCTTTCCAACTGCAACGGGATGATCGGGCAATCGCCGCTTTTGCTGGATCTCTCGCTCCTGCCGGTCGCTGAGGCGCGCGCCGTGGCTGTTGTTGGGGAACGCATCCAAGTGGTGGGTCTCCTGGAATTGGCTTGTAGCAACATGGGCACGGTGCTTTACTCTAGACGTCGTCATACTGCCGCTGCTGCCACCTCATTTTCATCTTCCTTGTTCCCTTCGTCTGGACAGATTCTCATTGAAGCACGTGCCGTTCGTACTGCTAATTTTGCTTCGCATTGGTCAAAAGATCCGTTGACGGCAACGACGACTTCCACATCGTCTCCTTTTTTTCCGCAGGAGGTGAATGGTGTTTTTTCGGTAAACGAGGAGTGGGAGGCGGCGGCATTTCTTCAGGCGCGATGCAGTTGGGAGACTGTGGCCGGGGCAGCTGCCTTTGCACTAGCGAAGGGGACGGGCGGGATTCTCCAGAAACAAAAACCGAATGGTCCATGTCGAATGGAAGCACTTTTGGCGGCTTCAGGAGCGTTTGCCCTACCCACGGCGCTCTGGGCAGTTGTGGGCATTGCTCTTACCTCGGCGACAGCAAATGTCGGTTCCATTGTAGCCTCTGTTGTGGGACCGTCGGATAGTCTTTCTGTCCTGCAAACGTTTTTGTTGGAGTTGGCTGCTGAAACAAATATGGTGGTGCCTCTTGTGCACGGTCTGGAGGGTGCGCTCCTCCCGGCATATACCAGTGTAGCAGCTTCTCAAGTGAACATCCCTATCCCTGTTGAAGTTGGACGCCGCATCGAGTGTGTGCGTGGGGGATTGCTCAACATGGCCCATCAACGTGTTTTATTTGCACCCTCATTGCATACCCTTACAACTTCTGCCTTGCATGCAGTGCAAGGCGTTCTCAAGCAAAATGAGCATGTTGTGGTGCGTGAAGGGGGCCAGCGCGTGGGGTGCAGAGCTGCAGGGGCTTTTATCGGAATAACACAGGAATCGATGTTGGTGCAGGATCGTCAGCTTTTTTGTTTTATGGAGCGGGGGGACGTTGTCCTTCACCTGCCCACCAACACCACCTCCTGCTCTGTGGAGGATGACCATGTTGCGATCCTTGAGTTGCTCCTTAACAATGTGGAGTGGGGGGAGAGATCTGAGATGGTAGCAATTGACCACATCAATCGCTGCAAAAGTCAATGGCTGATGTGCTGTGAATGGGCACTACATCCATTTGTGGATGAGCCTAGCGTACCACAGATCACTACCGCGTGTGCGGCGCTGCTTCGTTCTTTTTTCTTCACGGCTAAAGCAAACTGCGCCGAGGCTGTGGATGCCGGTATGATGACAGCCTTGGCGAAACTCACATGTGCCCATGCACTGCTTCGTCAGAGAGCACATCATGGAGGAACATGTGGGAACATTCAAAAAACAGCTTCATCCGCTTGTGTCTGCGGTGTGAAAATGAGAGAACACTCTGAATCCACTGCACTTGTCGATGCGGTGGTGGCGATAGCACTCTGTGATGCTTCCTTGAAGTTTATCGCAGATGTGTCGCTGATGGGAAAGTCATTTACTTTTGATTTGATGGTAATTGACACCCAATTTGACGTCCTACATTTTTCCAAGGAACTTTATGCACATCTGCTCTCCCACATGCCAACACCTCCGATGTGAGACAACGTGGCTGCGAAAGAACGCAACGCTCAGTATAATAACCGCGCATCAGCAGCAGCAAGTAATACCACAGACAGAAATACAGAGAAAACAAAGATATATATACTGATTTTATTTATTTATTTTCATTTTTATTTGCCTTTGCGCCGGTGTTGCTTTCTTGGTTGTGAACGATTTTTTGCTTGTCGGTTTTTTTCCACTGAACTCTTTTGGGTGGAGTGAATGTGAATGGGAGATTTATTCCCCAATGGTTACTGGCGGTTCGGCCTTTTTACAGACCAGGCCAATCATATCCTACAAGGCAGAATAAGCGCATGTACTTTGTTATATTTTTTGTTCTTTATACAGAGCTGCAGTGACATCTCTTTGTTGTTTGTTCTTTTCTTCCTTTTTTTTTTTTTTTTTTGGATTACGACAGCTCCTGCGTCCTGTAAGTGTACCTTTCGTTTTGGAAACACACGCACACACACATACTCATTCACACGCACGATGATGTTTGGCCGGCCTCCTGCGCCCCAGGTGAACTGGGAGGAGATGTATTTCTACCAGAAGTTGCACCACCTCTTTGATCACGGCTCGGACTGGATGATCTCTAAGCTTAACTGGTGGATCCCCTCCGTTGCAGCAGGGATGGTGCTAAGTCTTTTTTTACTAAGCGAGAATCCCATTGGTGAGGGCGCTGCCATTACGCTGCCCAATTTTTCGCCTGTGGTGCGTACGCCAAACTTTGGGTTACAAGTCCCGGAACGCGAGGGGGCGCCATCAGATGAGAACGAGGAGGATGAGAATGACGAGGAGGTGTTCTAAACACGCATGTGAAGGGAGGGGGAGGAAACCACGGACTTCTTGTCCCGCTGGATCGAATGTTGTGCGATCATAGGGAGACGGGGAGGTGATGATGAGGATGTTGTTTACGGCCTGTGCATGCACCTTATATATATATATATAGGCCTTTCCAATTTAAAAAAAACTTAAACAAAAATTTGATACTTTCACACACCGAGTGGTATACATGCATGTGTATATGTATGCATGGAGGAAATGGACCGATCGTTAGGGATTATTACAACCACAAACATTTTATTTTTTTCTGCAACTGACGACGATTGTGTTGACGCTGGTGGGGTATTTTTGTTGCTGTTGTTGTTGTTGTTGTTGAGACCTGCTCTGTTAGCCATGTTTGTGTGTGTGTGTGTAAGTTAAAGTTAAAGTTAACGCGAAAGAGACGAAAGCCACACTTGTTTTTGTTGTTGTTATTTAACTTCCATTGAAATTTTGCTACGAGTGTTCACGAGTCATGTTGTTACTGTCTTCATGGCGAACATTCTCTTTTTTTTTTTTTTTTTTTTTTTTTTTTTGACCTCATCGAAGGGTGGGCGAGCGGCGGGGAAGAAAAAAAAAATGACTGATGAACGGGACGTGTCTGTGCTGCAGGCGTTTACAGCCGTGGGGGGCGACGACAAGGCGTGCGTCCGTCTCTTTTCGCGGGGTGGCTCTACTCCAGGGTGCTACGTCCTGGGCTCGTGGGCCGGATTCATTGCGCGGGAGTACATCCGGTCCACTGCGGTGCTGAAGAACTGGGGCGGAGTGGATGTGGTGGTCGTGAACGACAGTATTGCGAAGGAAGTCATCCGTGATTGTCTTCTGCGGCGTGGTGCCTCTGTCGAGTACTACGAACGACCACCCGGTGGTGGGACGTACGCATGTGTACAGCGTGGCTCACCGGGGAACATTACCGACTTTGAGGCAACGCTTTTTTCGTTTGAAGAGGCGGAAATCCAGTTGATGGCAACTGGAGCAATTGTTCTCGAGAACAATAACAAAGGTGGCAACGCGGGTAAATGCATGATTTCAGGCGGGCAAGGAATCAGGGTGGGATTTGCCGCACTGAACACAACTCTTCGGACCCTGACTTACGCGGAGTATCTTGACACGCTGCAGCTGACCAGTCTTGATGCCTTGATGGCGCAATGCAATCTGAAGGAGCTTATCTATTTGGACAAGAGCCGATGCAGAGGTGGCAGCAATAGTGATAGGGGAGGAGGAGCCGCAGGTGTTGCCGGCGGAAGCGGGCGAGAAGAAGAGTCGTTACGGGCGGTGAAACAGTTGTGTGAGCGTGCAAAGATTACTTACCGTGAATTGGGACACAATGGCGCTGCTCCATCACATGATTCTCCGCAGAAACCCCTACAGCTGCAGGGAAGACGAGAAGGCAACGTGACCAAAGGCGATTTTCTCAGTGCTCTTGAAGACATTCTTCGTGTGCCAGAGGACCGGCTTGCCCTTTCCAATTGTCCATTGGCGTCTCGAGCGATTGAATATCTTGTCTCTAATATTATTGATAACTTTGATGCAACGAATCACCGTGCTTTCTACTTAAAGCATACAATTCCATCCACCTTTATGAAACTGGACACCGCGGCAATACAGGCATTGCACATTATACACCAGAAACCAGAAGCGCGCGGTTCCCTTCCCACATCTGTCTATTCGTGGCTGAACCGCTGCGTTACCGGCATGGGCTCTCGGATGATGCGGCAGTGGTTGCTTCAGCCGCTGCGCAACGCAGAGGACATCAATCAGCGTCTTTCCCTTGTAGAATTGATGGTGGAAGACTCGATTTTGCGGGATGCTCTTCTTTCGCAGGTGCTGCGATGTTGTGGTGACATGGATCGGTTAAATCGCAAGCTTCAACGACGTAGCATCGCTCTCAAAGATCTTCAGTCCATTCTGACGTTTGTCAACACCATTCCGCGGGCCGTGCAGGTGTTGAGGACCCACCAAGGCGGGCGAAATGACAAACTGCTGATGGATGAATACATCGCTCCATTGGAGGACATTAACGAGCATTTCTCAAACCTCCGCATTCTTATCACAGCCACTGTTGACCTCTCCGACGAAAACACTACTCGCATCAACCCTGAATTTGATGACGAACTGATGGAACTGGAGGAACAACGAAAAAGCGTGGTCAAGGCCATTGAAAGCGAACACCAACGCGTGATGAAAGTGTATGGATGGACAGAGAAGCAACTGAAGTGTGAGTACCATACGACATACGGTTATGTCTTTCGTGTAACGCGAAAAGAAGACCAACAGGTGCGCACAAGCAAGGAACTAATCACGGTGAGCACTTCCAAGGACGGTGTAAGATTTGTTTCAGAACGACTTTCTTCACTTAGTGAGCAATATAAAGGCATTCGAAAGGTATATGATGTGCGCCAGCAAGATCTTAAGCAGAAGCTTGTAAGCACCGTCGTCACTTATCTTCCAGTACTTGATGATGCAAAGGAGTTAATTGCGGCGCTGGATGTTTTTGTGGCCTGGGCAACGGTGGTAAGGGATTCTCCACATCCCATGGTTCGTCCAACGATTAGGACACCTGAGACAGAGGAGGAACAAGAGGGCAATAAAAGTCTCATCACGCTTCTTAATGTTCGTCACCCGCTTGTTGAACTCCGTCAGCCAGTGTACACACCCAACACGTTACGTCTAACGGACGATGCCAATGCGCTTATTATAACGGGACCCAACATGGGAGGCAAATCAACTTTTATGCGGAGCGTGGGAATATGTGTTGTGCTGGCACAGGCAGGCTGCTTTGTGCCGGCCGATTCGGCGGATGTGGTAACAAGGGACGCCGTAATGTGTCGTGTTGGAGCCACGGATCACCTTGCACAAGGAGTGTCGACGTTTATGGTGGAGATGTTGGAGTCTGCTGCCATTTTAAACGCTGCCACGCGAGATTCACTTGCCATTATTGATGAACTTGGCCGCGGAACGTCTACTTACGATGGGTTTGGTTTGGCTTGGGCCATTGCACAGGAGGTGGCGGTAAAGGCTCGTTCTGCGCTTCTTTTTTCTACCCACTTCCATGAGATGACACAGCTAGCAGAGCATCACACCAATGTGAGGAATGCGCACTTTGGCGCCGAAGTCAACACAGTCGAGGGGACACTGCGCTTTTCTTACCGGCTGGAGCCTGGGCCGTGTGGTCGCAGTTACGGTCTGTATGTGGCCCAGCTGGCCAACCTCCCAGAGGAAGTTGTGCAATCTGCCAAGTGCAAGGCGGCAGGGTTGGAAACCTTTGAGCAGGACGAGGGGCAAAAAAGGGACTACACAACTATCTCTTCTGCTTCTTCAGAGATCACCGAACGACTTGCTTACTATGCAAAATGCATACGTGGGCTAAATGACACCAAATTGGCGGCTGACAATGAGGAGGCGAGTCGGCGGCTGCGTCTTGAAATCCAGCAAGACTCTCTTATATCTTCTTTGCTTTAAGAGTAAAATGAAAAGGGAAGGTGAGTTCTTGTCTGTCTCTTTTGGCCTTGTGGTGGTTGTTTTTTCATTAATATTTTTATTTTTATTTGTAGTAGTTGTTGTTGTTATTGTTATTTGTTACCCACCCGCTGTAGGCCTTTGCCGATGATATGGCGGGGCTTCCTCATAGAGAATTGGAAGAATTCCAAAGCTTATATATATATACATATATAAAGAGAGAGTGTGTGTTTTTTTTTCTAAGAGCGTCAGTGGGCCCTTCTGAAAACAGCGAAAAAACCACAGGAAAAGGTTTGGGAAAATGAAGGAACCGAAAAAGGGACTAAAGAAGACGTGAGTGTTGATTGAAATATGGAAGCAGATGTGTGCGTAAAAAAGCGAAGTGGAAGGGGGATAAGTGTATGAAGCGGACTTACGTTTCTTCTTTCGAACTGTCCAACTCCTTCATATCTTTCTCTCTTTATATATATATGGGCTTCTTATTTGTTCTTTGCTTAACTTTGAACTTAAAAAAAGAAGAAAATAAAGGAAGGCAGGGAGCCGGAGGAAAAAAAAAAGAGTTTTCGGGGTACTTAGAGGAGTGATCGTGCTGCTAACGCACAAAAAATGATAAAACGTTTTGTTTTTTGTCCGCCCGGCCCGCCACCATCACCTCTTCTAATAAGCTGCTGGAGCAAGATGTGCTTTGTTGAGGATGGGGATGCAGTGATTTACTATCTGCACATTAGGCATTGTACGGTAAACGGTGCCTCGGCAAGTTCGGATACTCGCTTGACGATTCTTTACAGTCATGGGAATGCGGAAGATTTGGGGAGTTGCTATGAAGGACTTGTAGCGTTGTCGCGTGCGATTGGGGCCGATATCGTTGTGTATGACTATTGTGGCTATGGCTTTTCAAAAGCGAGGGGTCAAAGTGGACCAACAGAGGAGCGTGTCTATAAGGACGCAGACGCCATATTTGCTGAACTTACCGGTCGTCTTAATATTAAGCCGCTCCAGGTTGTTCTCATGGGGCGCTCGATGGGTGGCGGACCCGCCTGCTACTTGGCTGCGAAGCATCATTCGACGATTGGTGGACTTATCCTGCTTTCCACTTTCACGTCATGTTTGGGGGCCGTTAATTGTTCCTGCCTACGTTACCTGTGCGTTAAAGACATGTTTCCTAATGAAGAATTTCTTGAGAGTGTTGTTGACTGCCCAGTGCTCATTATGCATGGGAAGAAGGATAGCGTGGTTTCCTTTAGTTGTGCCGAGCGATTATTGAAGATTGTCGAGCAGGTGCAAAAACGTTTCAAGAAAGAAGGACTGGTAAGCCACCATTGGTTTGCGAATTGCGGTCACAACGATATCGAGGTGGTGAGCATGGAAGAATTGAGAGAGAATCTCAAAACCTTCTTGAACCGTCTGACAATTCACAACACCGAACGGAGTATTCATTCCACTCAATAATGAATTTCTTGCTTATTTCTTCTGCTTTCTTTCTTTTTTTTTTTTGTCTGTTTGTGTGTGTGAGTGTGTCTAAGTTAGGTTTGTTGGGGATAGATAAGTGTTATTTTGCTTTTTCTTGTTGTTGTTGTTGATGTGAGAAATGCTTCTAAATCGGTGGACGATTTTTTGTCGTGAGACGGATGTGGTACTGTAACGACTACTCGCATTCCAATTCCACCGCTTACAACCCCTCTAATTTGGCACTGCCGTCTGCTGATTTCTGCTTTGTATCGTCACTGCTGCAAGAGGGCCATAATCAAGATACATGCACACTTATAAGTGCAAATATAAACGTGTATTGGTGTTGAATGAACCAATGCGGTGTGCATCACCTTCTCCCTCTTTTCTGTTTCCTTTTTTTTTCCTTTCTTTTTCTTTTTGGTGTTGGGTCTCTACTGTGCAAGAGCGACGGGGTAAAAAGATGGAGAAACCCATGAAAGGGGAAAAAGTGCGTCCATTGCAAGTGCTTCCTCGCAACAGTTTGCATCCGGCTGGGCGCACTGGCGGGCGTCACTCAGTAGGGAGCAGCGGCATTTGCAGCAGGAGTGGTTCTTCGTATGTTGTTGACTTTTCGGCGTCTCCACCGACGTGGGCTGCTGCGGGCGCAGGCTGTGTGACAGTGACACAGCCGAGTCTCCCACCTGTCGACGACACTGAGCCCCAACATAGAAGAATGTCATCGGGGCACGGAGCAACTCCGTCTCGCACAAGTCTCATGGTTGTGCCTGAAGGAACGGTAGGAGAAGATGACACCAGGGATTCATTCTCCTCTTCGTCGAGTGCGTATATGCGGCACCACCGGTACGAAAATCCCTTTACCGCGTATCAGCCGGTGTCGGATCCGTACGATCGTCACCGCGAAATTGAGCGGCAGCGGCGGTTCATAAATGACAGTAAACGGCTGGGGAGGCCGTTCATTCCCAGCGGTGGACGAGCGTTAGAAAAGCCGACGCGTTATTTGCTGGGTGACTGCGTTGCTGCCATTTACCGCACGATTGGGCGTGACTGGCCTGAGACAGACCCAATGGTCATCTCCACTGCGGAGGACCTTGTTGTAGTCTACATGAAGCGAGCCCGTTTGCGCAACACGGACACAGTGCTGCGTTACATGAATGCATCCTTGAAGCGAAACGAAGCGGTGCGGGCGTTTGATCTGAGAAAAGTTCCGGAAGGGTGGGATTTACTTACGGATGACGGGCATATAATGTACACTTTCAAGCCGCCGTGGGTGCGACAGCGGCGCTTTCTTCCAGATCAAGTCGTGACCCGCAAAGCACATTAGAGAGAGTGGGGTAGATAGAAATTGATTGAAATATTCGGCCAAGAGGAACAACAACAAAAAAAAAGGGTGGGGGAAGGATACTTATGAGTATTTATGTCTTTTTTCTCTCTCTCCGTGTGTGTGTGTGTGCATGTATGAAGCAGTCACACTGGTGACTGAAGTTTTTTTTTTTTTTTTGGAGGGTAATTTGTTGCATAACTCCTTTGAGGAGGTGCCTTGCAGTTGAAAAGGGGAAGGAAGTACACATCCAATTGCGTACATCACTACGATTGTGCAACTCACACACACACACACACATACACACACGGGAAAGACAACAAAAGCAAAAAAAAAAAGAAGGTTACTTGGCCGTTTTAATGTGGTGCCATCAGGGCAACAAGGAACGTTGCTTATTGCGTTGCGCGTGTTGTTTTCTGCTGGTTTCTTTTTTTTGTTTGTTTTGGTGCTTGTATTATGGCTTTATGTTGTACATTTTAGCAATTATAAAGACGGAGGCAAGAAGAGCGTTTTTGGAGTAAAAGAAGGAAAAAAGGGAAAATGAATAAGAATGGACTTTCACTCATTTCTTTTTTTTTTTTCTGTGGCGTACTGGGTGAGTGGGTGACTTTTTTTTTTTTTTTGATCATGAGTACTTTCAGGCCGTATTTTCATTTTATTTTATTTTTTTACTCCTACCCACGTAGGCGTTGTCGCCTCTTATGAATCCAGACGCGCCAGCCTTTATTCCCACATTTGCTCGCGACAGCGTCCACCGTCGTGTGTACACTCGTGCAACATTAAGGAATATTGAGTTAAATGTGATCCAAAACATCTCCTGCGCTCCTTTGACAGGCGTCCATTTGACCCTACGCACGCCGAAAGACTTTGCCGCACTTTTAAAGCTTCCATACGCTATTGAGTGGTTGGATGTGGCTCATGTGGTTTCTTTGGTGCGGAGTGGTCAGCGTGTCGTGCAGAAAGGCCCGCTTCACAGGGATTCTTGTGATCAAAACCATGGCAAAATCGATAATAAGCGTCCCCGTTGTATTCAGTGCCAGCAGGGTCGGGAAATGTGTACTTTGATCGGTGAGGTGGTTGCCGCTTCAGTACGCCGTGCGGCCTCCAGTCGACTTGGAGCGGCGATGCTTCAATCCGGTGATGTTGTATGGGGTCTGTTGCAGCTGGCTTTGGTTTTTGATGCCCGTCAAAGTTCCTTGCGGCTTCGCTTGCTGGCTGAGCGACATCCAGGCGTGGTGGAATGCATTCGACAATACCTCTGCGGTGAGGGGTATCACCTTCCTCTTCCTAGTGTCACTGCGCATGAGCAATGGCAAGTTCTTAACTCTATGCTGAAGTTTGACTGGATCCGCGACAGTCGCACCCGGATATTTACAGAGATTTCGAAACGATGGAAAAAGCGTCATACGCAGTTTGAACAGTTTGTGCATTTCTTCGAGTACCGTGATGATCGTCCTTTGCACCCTGTGAAAAACATGTTAACACATTCAGCAAAGCCCGTGCTGGTTTCTATTCTATCTGGGGATGTGCTTGCAGTAGTTTTGCTTGCGCGGTTGGGGTTTTTTGTGCCGCCTGATTATTACTGGGAAATATTCCCTTTCTTTTCTGAGAGCTTACTGGCTGGTGGTGACGGGGAAATGTATCATCTCATGCGACACCTTTGCCTATATTTTGATGGACGGCAACGCGCCCTCCGCCGTGATATATTCAATCCCATTGCTCCTCCCCGGTCGATCTCTCAGTGAGAGGGCCCGCAAACGAAAGAGAGAGATGGAACCGGGACAGAAAAGACAGGTTTTGTGATATATGAAGATATATATGTTTATGGAGGAGTCTTGGGGCACTGGCACATTGATGGTGGGTTTGTTGTGTGAGGGGAATGCGTTTTTTTTCCTTTTTTCATTTTTTTTTGTTGTTGTTGTTGCGGAAGGATGGGATAAAAAAAGAAAAACGAAAAAAAAGGAGTCAAAGAAACCAAAATGGCGGGAGTTACGGCCGTCCACAGTAAAGCAAGTGGAGGGTACAGGGAGAGGGGGTAGAAGTTGTATCGGTGCGTGGTTTTATTGCTCTTTTGCTTGCTTTCGATGGTGCCGCTGCTTGCTTTTTCTCATACGTGCGTGTTTCTTTCCATTTTTTTTTTTAAACTTCATTTGTGTTTGGTGTTGACACGGGGGAGCGGAGAGAAAAGACGTATCGAGAGGAAAATAGAGACACAGGACGGCAGTGATGCGGCAGTGGGCGCATACAGATTTAGACTCTACTCCCTCCGGACGACCCTCCGGCAAACGACGTACGCGTACCAGCGGCACCATGTCATTGCAAGAGGTCTCGGCGAACACGCTGCAGATTCTTCTCCGCTCTCCAGTGGAAGATGATGCTCCACCCGTTCGCTTGTCGCGGCACATCCCTCAGCGCGAGGGAGTGGACATGGCTGTATCCGCATACAACCTAACCAGCACCTCTACCAACACGCTCATCATGCCGCCTGTTCCAAAAAATGGCTCTGGAGCAGGAGTGGGGGGTGGAACTGGGGGATTGTCGCTTATGCACTCTACCGTGACGTCCCACTCCAGCGTCCACTCTGAGTCATTCGTGTCCGATGACTCGTCCTACGTGACGTCCATCTATAACGAGGTCCTTGCTGAACAGCTGAGTGACGAAAACACACAGAGGCACCGTAAGATTGGTGGTGGCGTACTGCGCTTTAACAGCACGGACAATATCTATAACCGTGGGGCTCCTTTGAAACCCGTGGGTATTGCTAGTACTGTCAATGGCGGCTGTATCTCCTCAAGTGGTGATGCTGGCGGGGGAATAGGGAGACGTCACGCTGGCACAGGTGGGAGCCGAGCAGGGTCGCCGTCACTCTTTGCGTCTTCACCCGTAAGGAATACGCGGATAAAGCGCCTCATGCCTGGCAAACCCGTACCACAGCGGGTACTTTTTACCAACCCGGAAAGGGTGCTGGATGCGCCAAATTTTCCATTAGATGCCAAGCAACTCCTTCATTGGGGTAGTAATAACAAACTTATAATCGGTTTGAAGAACTCTCTCTATGGATGGGACTCGGAGACGGCGCAAGCTTCAATGATGGTACAACTACAGGATAGTATGCATATTCATGCCGTGCATTGGTTACATAAGTGTGCATGTGTTGCACTGACACTGGATGATGGTGTGACTGCCATTTATGATTGTCGTAATGAAGAGTTTTTACGAACAGTGCGGACAAGACTTTCTCCCAAGGAGTTTTTTACATACCTTGCAGTGAACGGGCCCCTTCTCGCCATTGGCACTAGTACATCATGTGGTGGGGTTTACATATTCGATCTTCGCGCCAAGCATGCACTGATCTCCGTCTACGAAGGGCACACCAGCGGTATAACGTCTCTTCACTACTGTACCGAGGAGCCTTTTTACTTAGCTTCAGGTTCTGCAGATGGCTCTGTACGTGTATGGGATGCGCGGCACAACAGCAGCCCTCGCTACGCCTTTGATCGTATTCACCGCGGTCCTGTTAATAGTATTCTATGGAACCCCGACAAACGCAGCAAGATATACACTGGTGGACAGGATGGCATGCTGTGTCACGTGGACACACACGCGCCCATGAGAAATATTCCGCCCGTTCTAAGGATTGACGAGGAAGGACCCACCACGGGCAGCCACTTCATCACTCGGGCAATCAATACTCTACACCCCATCAGCGGTATCGTTTCCCCACCCGGTGTCGACGAGGTGGCAACAACCCACCATGGGAAGGGGCATATCCAGATCCGTCACGCCAACAACTTTCACCTTATAGGCACACTTAACTCCCCAAATTGCGAGGCTGCCATTTTATGTCCGACACTCGCCCCCGACATGCAACGCATTTGCGCCGCCCAGGAGGAGACATTGAAGTTTTGGCGTGTATTTGATCCCAATCCGCCACAACGTCGCACGAAAAGTGCCACACCGCCGCCGCCCGTCTCACAACTTGAAAAAGAACTTCGATAACGTCTTTGGCGAAATTGCATATGGCATCCTGTTTTCTGTAAACATTTCGTTGAAGTTGGACGTAATGATTCATGTACTATTGGCCCCGACCATCAACATAATTTTTTTTTTTTTTGTACTATCTTCTATTTTATTTTTTTATTAACATATACAGCTGTGAATCTCCGCTAACATCCTTTCTGTATCAAGTTTTTTTTGTGCCACCACTAGATTTACAATTCATTCACGCTCAACTCATGTACATGTACTTATAATAAAATACCCAGCAATCGTCATTGTACTCATATCCGCGTCAGGTTTCTACTCCCCGCGCATACAAAAATAGATGAAAAAAAAAAAAAAAACTAACAAAAACAAGAATTTATCAAAGCGAAAACACACAAAGAAGAATATATATATATATGGATAATAATAAATAAAAACGTTGCAAAACAGAAAAAAAAAATTGTATGCAAAGTGCAAGAACATAAAACAGATTATATGCCACAAACGCAAAACTATTAAAAAAAAAAAAAAGAAAAAAAGAGCCAAGCATACTCAGGTTAACCACTTCTTTCCCCTCACGTTTCTCTTTCTCTGTATTGCCACCAGAAGATAAGCACAACTTTCGTAACACGACAACATCAGCATTTCGCGTAAGGCATACACAAGAAAGACAGGCATATACACACACACACACGTGTTAGAGACCCTAAGAACAAGAAACTCGCAAAGATGACCGAGACATTCGCATTCCAGGCTGAGATTAATCAGCTAATGTCTCTCATAATTAATACCTTCTATTCCAACAAGGAAATTTTCCTGCGTGAATTGATCAGCAACTCGTCCGATGCGTGCGACAAGATCCGCTACCAGAGCCTGACGAACCAGGCGGTGCTGGGTGACGAGTCCCACCTTCGTATCCGCGTGATCCCCGACAAGGCAAACAAGACGCTGACGGTGGAGGATACCGGTATTGGCATGACGAAGGCGGAGCTTGTGAACAATCTGGGCACGATCGCGCGGTCCGGCACAAAGGCCTTCATGGAGGCGCTGGAGGCCGGTGGTGACATGAGCATGATTGGCCAGTTCGGTGTTGGTTTCTACTCGGCGTACCTTGTGGCTGACCGCGTGACGGTTGTGTCGAAGAACAACGACGACGAGGCGTACACGTGGGAATCGTCTGCTGGCGGCACTTTCACCGTGACGCCGACGCCGGACTGTGACCTGAAGCGCGGCACCCGCATTGTTTTGCACCTGAAGGAGGACCAGCAGGAGTACCTGGAGGAGCGCCGTCTGAAGGATCTCATCAAGAAGCACTCGGAGTTCATCGGTTATGACATTGAGCTGATGGTGGAGAAGGCGACGGAGAAGGAGGTGACCGACGAGGATGAGGACGAGGCGGCTGCGGCGAAGAATGAGGAGGGTGAGGAGCCGAAGGTGGAGGAGGTGAAGGACGACGCGGAGGAGGGGGAGAAGAAGAAGAAGACGAAGAAGGTCAAGGAGGTGACGCAGGAGTTTGTGGTGCAGAACAAGCACAAGCCTCTCTGGACGCGCGACCCGAAGGATGTGACGAAGGAGGAGTACGCCGCCTTCTACAAGGCCATCTCGAACGACTGGGAGGAGCCGCTGTCGACGAAGCACTTCTCTGTGGAGGGCCAGCTGGAGTTCCGCGCAATTCTGTTCGTGCCGAAGCGCGCGCCATTTGACATGTTTGAGCCCAGCAAGAAGCGCAACAACATCAAGCTGTACGTGCGCCGCGTGTTCATCATGGACAACTGCGAGGACCTGTGCCCCGAGTGGCTTGCTTTCGTGCGCGGTGTGGTGGACAGCGAGGACCTGCCGCTGAACATTTCGCGTGAGAACCTGCAGCAGAATAAGATTCTTAAGGTGATCCGGAAGAACATTGTGAAGAAGGCGCTGGAGCTCTTTGAGGAGATTGCCGAGAACAAGGAAGACTACAAGAAGTTCTATGAGCAGTTTGGCAAGAACGTCAAGCTTGGCATCCACGAGGACAGCGCGAACCGCAAGAAGCTGATGGAGCTGCTGCGCTTCCACAGCTCGGAGTCCGGGGAGGACATGACGACCTTGAAGGACTACGTCACCCGCATGAAGGAGGGCCAGAAGTGCATCTACTACGTGACGGGCGACAGCAAGAAGAAGCTGGAGACCTCGCCGTTCATTGAGCAGGCGAGGCGCCGCGGCTTTGAGGTGCTGTTCATGACGGAACCGATCGATGAGTACGTGATGCAGCAGGTGAAGGACTTTGAGGACAAGAAGTTCGCGTGCCTGACGAAGGAGGGCGTGCACTTTGAGGAGACGGAGGAAGAGAAGAAGCAGCGGGAGGAGGAGAAGACGGCGTACGAGCGTCTCTGCAAGGCGATGAAGGATGTGCTTGGCGACAAGGTGGAGAAGGTGGTGGTGTCGGAGCGCCTGGCGACGTCGCCGTGCATTCTTGTGACGTCGGAGTTCGGGTGGAGCGCACACATGGAGCAGATCATGCGCAACCAGGCGCTGCGCGACTCGAGCATGTCTGCGTACATGATGTCCAAGAAGACGATGGAGATCAACCCGGCTCACCCCATTGTGAAGGAGCTCAAACGCCGCGTGGAGGCGGACGAGAACGACAAGGCCGTGAAGGACCTTGTGTACCTGCTCTTTGACACCGCGCTGCTGACGTCTGGTTTCACGCTGGACGATCCCACGTCGTACGCCGAACGCATCCACCGCATGATCAAGCTTGGCCTCTCGCTGGACGACGAAGACAACGGCAATGAAGAAGCGGAGCCCGCTGCCGCCGTTCCCGCGGAGCCCGTTGCTGGCACATCGAGCATGGAGCAGGTTGACTAGAGGTGCTGCATTTGCCGTGGGCTTTCCTTCCTCCTTTCTTTTTCTTTTTCTTTTTCTTTTGTGCCCTGCTTTCTCCTATTCTGTGATGCACTGGGGCTTCCTAACAGGAAATTCTTTCCCACCCACACTATTATTATTATTATTATTATTATTATTACTATTATTATTATTATTATTATTATTATTTGGCTCGGTAAGGGAATAAAAAGAAGGCAACAGGGTGGATGCCTGGTGGAGGGCAGAAAGGGGGTTCCCTCTCACCACTGCTGCTGCGCCGCAACTTTGCGCCACACACTCCGCGTTTTGTTCTTTCTCTTTGTATATCCTTCTCTCTTTCCCCTCGCATTTCTCTTTCTCTGTATTGCCACCAGAAGATAAGCACAACTTTCGTAACACGACAACATCAGCATTTCGCGTAAGGCATACACAAGAAAGACAGGCATATACACACACACACACACACGTGTTAGAGACCCTAAGAACAAGAAACTCGCAAAGATGACCGAGACATTCGCATTCCAGGCTGAGATTAATCAGCTAATGTCTCTCATAATTAATACCTTCTATTCCAACAAGGAAATTTTCCTGCGTGAATTGATCAGCAACTCGTCCGATGCGTGCGACAAGATCCGCTACCAGAGCCTGACGAACCAGGCGGTGCTGGGTGACGAGTCCCACCTTCGTATCCGCGTGATCCCCGACAAGGCAAACAAGACGCTGACGGTGGAGGATACCGGTATTGGCATGACGAAGGCGGAGCTTGTGAACAATCTGGGCACGATCGCGCGGTCCGGCACAAAGGCCTTCATGGAGGCGCTGGAGGCCGGTGGTGACATGAGCATGATTGGCCAGTTCGGTGTTGGTTTCTACTCGGCGTACCTTGTGGCTGACCGCGTGACGGTTGTGTCGAAGAACAACGACGACGAGGCGTACACGTGGGAATCGTCTGCTGGCGGCACTTTCACCGTGACGCCGACGCCGGACTGTGACCTGAAGCGCGGCACCCGCATTGTTTTGCACCTGAAGGAGGACCAGCAGGAGTACCTGGAGGAGCGCCGTCTGAAGGATCTCATCAAGAAGCACTCGGAGTTCATCGGTTATGACATTGAGCTGATGGTGGAGAAGGCGACGGAGAAGGAGGTGACCGACGAGGATGAGGACGAGGCGGCTGCGGCGAAGAATGAGGAGGGTGAGGAGCCGAAGGTGGAGGAGGTGAAGGACGACGCGGAGGAGGGGGAGAAGAAGAAGAAGACGAAGAAGGTCAAGGAGGTGACGCAGGAGTTTGTGGTGCAGAACAAGCACAAGCCTCTCTGGACGCGCGACCCGAAGGATGTGACGAAGGAGGAGTACGCCGCCTTCTACAAGGCCATCTCGAACGACTGGGAGGAGCCGCTGTCGA